ATTTTTAAAAGACGTTAGTTTTTGTCTACAAAATAGCAAGCTTTTAAAGTGCAAACTGAGGTCGCTACGACCTTCTGAAGTAGAGGCATTCCTACCCCGAAAACCAGGTCTTTTAAAAATCCATATTTCAAATACGAAGTCTCTGCGCCGCCTCCGCCGGAAGTTATAGCCTTTCCTTCGCGTTTTTTGTTAGACCCTGTAAAATTTTCGGTAAATTTGCACATTCAAATTTTATATCCTCAAAATAATTTGCAGGCAGACACCCAAAAAAAAGTTATAGAAACTACCTACAAGGGTTGGCAAAGCCGTTGGATGGCCAGCGGACGCTGTGCGAAGGCTCGGCGGAGACTTGGCGAAAGCTTACAATACGACCACTCTTCCTAATTTTAGCTACTACTAACGTTACTTTTATCTACAATTGTAACATACACTCCGTTACGAAAGTATACCTACCCTATGGAAAATTGCAGTATCTAAAGTTTGGTAAGAGATATCAAAAAACTGCCAATGCCATTCGAAAGAACATGTCTTAAAACCTATTGAAGCATGGAATCAGCCCGTGGAAAAAAATTTGATCGCTTTGGGGACTATTTTAATATTGTTGGCCGTTTCAAAGTATATATACCTACCCCTGACGGTTTTTTTACCGAAATTCGCTGCAAAAACAAAGATCTGCAACGTCGAAAAGTAGGAGCCCCCATAAAAGTAGTTTGCTTGTTAGTTAAATTTTTAATATCAGTTTGTCGGAAAAATAATGATTCTCTTTTACTTCAGTGGTGCGGTCAGCCCAGCGGCATTATGCACATTATTTTCCATACAGTTTGTGGGCAAAATAGAGAATAAAGTATTTCTGAGTGTCGACTCTCACTTTTCAATCAATGCTTGGGAGTCGCACCTTGCGCAGTTTCCGTGTTGTTCCTCGGACTCACAGGGGAAGTGCTCCAAGTGCGACGCTCAGATTTTCTTTAAATTTTGCACACACGTCGAGTACGGACTAAATATGAATTTCTGAAAGTTTTAGCTCGCGCTTTGCGGGCGCCGCTGACATATCGAACGATTTTTGCCGCCGAGAGAGCACGCTAAACGTGGAGAGCGGTCAGAGAGAAAACACCTTTTAGGCCATAACTTTGGCAGTTTCGTGCGGAAAATTTTGATTTTTTGTAGAAACATTATCCTTTACGGTACAAATAGGCATGAAACTTTTCGTGCCAAAATTCGGCAAAAAGTCCTAAAATTTGGCCGACTTTCCATCAAAAAATCTCGGTTGTTTCTCCAAAGCGCGAGCTAGGATTTTCGCATATATCTTAGAAAAAATTGTTCTAAATTTGGGCCAAGTTTTATCAAAATCTGAGCGTCGCACTTGGAGTACTTCCCCTTCTCGGTTCCACAATGCATCGTCAAAAACGATTACTCAATATGTAGGTGGTAGTCCAACTAGTCCGTTCGCAAAGTCGCTGAAATGATTTTGGCAACATGCTGAAAGATTTTTTACAGTGGGCGTCGCCTATTTCAGTCCGACGACTTTTCGGAAGGCCTAGTGAAAGACTACTCAATATCTCGCAAGGCCTTGTAGATTCTGAGCTCTAACTTTCCGCAACTGATTTCGACCTGGTACCCCTTTATTTACGCCAAATTTCCGGACCATCCGACTACATATTCTACTGACAAGGGAAGTCACTTTTTTCGCAGACGGACTTCGGAACGGGACCTAGTAGGTTTCAAACCTGAAGCGTCTACGATCATACAACTGATTTCCAAAAGTGTTTACGGGGCTTCTCGGCCGAGAAAATCGACCACAAAGTTTAGCCGAAATGAGCGAATAGCCTCCTCAAAAGAAACAGCTTATTTCATCTGCAGTGGTGGCCGAGTGGTCAGCGCGCTCGCTTTTTGCGCCAGAAGAGGCGGGTTCGATCCCTTGCGCAGTTTATTTTCTTTTTTGGTTCGTAAATATTGATTTAGTATGTAAACATAAAATGTATACACTTTTGTAATTTTTTACAGTAATTTAAACATAAATTCAAACCTGAATGTTCATGAATATTGTAAAGTCAAAACAGGGCTGGGTTGATGAACATATACTTTCTAAATTTGTGTTTTATTAAAAATTGCTAATAATTAGGTTATGTGATGTTAACGGCATCTCTCTATTTGATTCAATTGTCAAAAGAAATGCATCCGCAGACGACCGAAGTCGAACTCACGTCTTCTGGCGCAAAAAGCGAGCGCGCTGACCACTCGGCCACCACTGCAGATGAAATAAGCTGTTTCTTTTGAGGAGGCTATTCGCTCATTTCGGCTAAACCTTTGTGGTCGATTTTCTCGGCCGAGAAGCCCCGTAAACACTTTTGGAAATCAGTTTTATGATCGCAGACACTTCACGTTTGAAACCTACTAGGTGCCGTTCCAAAGTCCGTCTGCGAAAAAAGTGACTTCCCTTGTGAGGCAACTCGACAAACCCGAATAAACTCGGAAACTTTTGTGCGGACAAAAGGAACTCGTGACTTGTTTTGCAAATCAAAGCCAGGAGGTAAAAATGGCTTTTTCCAACAAAATTTCGTCTGAAAGGACTACCGTACTCCTCGCTTTGGTAACATATTGCGTGGTGGCGACACGCTCCTAGAGTGCGAAAAAAACCCCATTACCCGCGCCGAGGCCATAAAAAATCGAGGGCGCAGCGATTTTTTTCCAAACAAAGGAAATACCCAATCCAGTGGAAAATTGCATGCTCAATTTGCAGTAAACCTTCTGACAATGAGTTTTTTGGTGAAATATGCAAATTTAGAAGGTGAAAATTTGAATATGCAAATTTCTTGGAATTTTGAAAATGCTTGATTCAGATTCTTTGGAAACGCCATAAGCTCAAATTTCAATTTTTTGAATATGCAAATTTTTTCGCAAATTTAAAATTTGGATATGCAAATTTTGAAAAATTTTTTAGACCTTTGAAATACTGATTCTGATGTTTTTTTGGCAATAAAATTAAATATGCAAATTTTTTGAATAAGCAAATTTTTGAAAATAAAACATTTGAATATGCAAATTAAGATAAGCGTAAAATGTGAATGTGAAAATTTTGAAAAAAATTGAGCCTCAAGAAATACATAATTTTATGTCTATCTTGCACATAAAATGCTCAAATTTTAATTTTCACAAAATGAAAATTTTTGAAAAAATTTGAATATTCAAATTTTTGTAATCATCGATAAAATAGAATCAGGGTGATTACATTTTTTTTATTTCAAACATTCGATTCTTCAAAAAAAAAATTAAATATGCAAATTTTTTTATCATAAAATTTGAATATGCAAATTTACCAAAAACTTCATTGCGTAAAAATCCCCATTCCCCAAAAAAAATTTCACTGTTTTCTATGCAAATTCCCGTTGAGGGGAATGTTTTCCAACTCGTCTTTGTTTTCTTAACTTTATTTGAATTAATAATCATGAACAAGGTACTTGGTTGAATAAATAAACTGATAAGGATACTCTGGTCGCTGTTGATATCAGTAGTGTTATTGCGGAAAGACTGGGTTCGTTTTGCGGAAAGAGCGGAAGTTTAGGAGCGTTGGTTGACAGAGGCAGATTTTACCGTGCTGATAATTGGAGATGAAGAAGAAACTTGAAAAATAAGATAATGGCTATGACAAAGAAATGAATTTTAGCAACTTTTCGAAGCGTTGAGAGTACAGTAACTTTATAAAAATAGGATGAAAACGGGTGAAAATGTATTTGGCAGAAGATTTGGGGATAGCTAGTATGAATTGCTTGTTATGGCAAGCACCTCATCGCTAGTAGCAAACTTCTTAGTGCGGATCTTAGAACATGACTGTTGCTATTTTTTACCATAAAGTTAATAACGATTGCGACTACACCGCCTATGATACTACAGCAACTTTACAAAGTCCAACACTTGCCAATACCTAGTATAATATCGCTTTTTATCAAAACTTCTCCAAAGCCAGTAGGAAATGTTTTAGTACAAGTGATAGACTAGTCTTTCAGCTATAAATTGATGCATACTGTATGCTTTTATCTTAAATGGCGCACAGGATATTACATAAACACTAAAAAAGTCCAAACTCGTAAAGGTGTCTAGTACAATATCGGTTTCTGTGGACTGACTGTTTCCGTTCAAACTAATTAACATGCAGCAGAAGATTGCATATATGTTTAGCTTCTATTTGATGTACATCTCATATTTCTTGATACAGTACCCTCGAAGATATTGAACTTTCTTTAGAAACCACCAAAATTGCCGGAAAATCGAATTTTCAAAAGTTCTCCCCAAATTTCCTAAGAAAACCTCTATCCTCCTGTTATTTCAACCCCATTGATGTCTAATGGATCCAATGGTAAAGCTACTGTACTATTCAACACATCAAAAATTGCAAAAATTCGCCAAAAGTCGGAAAAAATTATAATATATAGGACAAACATGACGGAAAGCACAATATACAAATAAATTATATATAATTGATGATTGTAGAAGGTCACGGTGAAAAATTGTAGCGAAAAAACGGATTGATAAGCTATTGGGAGGTCAAAAAGTCAATTTTGAATTTTTTTTAAAAATTCAAATTTCCCGCCAAAAATCTACCGTAGTCAAAAATGATTACATTAAGGCGAGAGGTGGTAAATTTTGTAGCGTCAAAAATAAGTTGTAGCTAAAATTCAGAGAAAAAAATCGATTTCCAGATCTTCGATTTTTTGAAATTTCAAATTTCCCGCCAAAAATCTACCGTATCCAAAAATGATTACACCAAGGTGAGGTGGTAAACTTTTAGTAATATTGTGGCTTCACAACTAATTTTTAGTCAAAATTCAGCCAAAAAATCGATTTTCAAACCTTTGATTTTTTCGAAAATTCAAATCTCCCGCCAAAAAATTAATTTTTCAAATTTCAAATTTCCCGCCAAAATCCTACCGTAACCCTCTAATCACTAAACGGCAAAAACATGAAAATAATAGTCATAAAAAAGTCATAATATGGTCTACAGCTGCTCAGTCCTCCCATGTTAGCGAGTGGCGGTCGTTGACTCGGAGCTGACAATTCCTCTTCCCATACCAGTTCACGTACGCAAACTCCGAGTTCGAAACGATCGAATTGAACCGTCCGCCGAACTTGGCCGCCGCTTCGGACTCGATTTTGCGCGCCGCGTCCAGGTTGTCGCCCGACGACACTAGCGCCGTCTCGACGATTTTGCGCAAGTCGGCGTCCTCGCAGTTCAGCGACGCCTCGTCCACTTCGACGTTCACGTTGTTCGTGGCGGCCGCGTCTTCGGTGGCTTCGGATGTGTAGCCAGTGTCCGTGGGAGGCTTACCCTCGTAGTTGGGCTTCTGCTCCGGAGCCGGTGGAGGAGGAGGCGGCTCGTGGACGGTGTAGTCGGTGGAGGCGGGAGTGGACGCGGTGAACGCTGCAAAATAGAAGTTTTGAAAAATATGATGAAGAAGATGGGAAGGAAACTGAATTGTAAGATTGGAAATGCTTCAAAAAGTCTAGTAGACATTAAATTTTAAGCCTAAATACAGTTGATATATAAAAATTGCGTTTTTTCCACGTTTAAGTCAGCATTTTTTTCATCTTCAGGTAGAACTACTAGATTTTTACGTAACTTGGCAAAAATTAAGAATTGACTTTTCTATGGCATATTCGAGATTTTTGGCTTATGTTTTGAAGCTAAAAATCTCAAACCAAGCGCCTTCTGGACTAAAAAATCAAAACAAATCCGAAAGACTATCTGATATGCGAAGAGTCGGCCAGCGAAAGCAAAAAATTGAAAAAATAGGATGTGACATGTTATACGATGAAGATTTTTTTCCAAATTATGCGGGCTGTAGTTATTCCCGTTTTTATTTTTCAACTTTTAAAAAAATTTTCATCGCATAGCATACACCTATAATATGTTTCAAGTTCAAAAAATTTTCCATCGTATAACATGTCACACCTTATTTTTTCAATTTTCAAAAAAATTTCAATCGTATAACATGTCACCCTTTGCTTTTTGAATTTTCTAAGAACTTTTTGTCGTATAACATGTCACACCTTATTTTTCTATTTTTCAAAAAAATTTCCATCGTATAACATGTCACCCCTTGTTTTTTCAATTTTCTGGGAAGTTTTTGTCGTATAAAATGTCACACCTTAATTTTTCAATTTTCAAAAAAATTTCCATCGTATAACATGTCACAAAGATTCAAAACATTTTTCATCGTATAAAACGTCACACCTTAATTTTTCAACTTTCTAAAAACGGGAGGAGTCCAATGAACAAAATCCAACTTACATCCTTGATCATAGCTATTGGGCTTTCCGTAGATTCCTCCCGCACCGTTCGTTGCGTGCTGCTCCTCGCGGAAGTCGTCGTAGCTGCTCTCGATTTCGCTGGCCGGGTCCGGGGGTGGCAGATTTTGCGGGACATAAGCGCCCGCCCCGCCCGTCGGCTGGTTGTTGTAGCTGGGCTGGCTGTTGTAGTTGGGCGCCGGAACGTAGCGTGGTGGTGGCGGTGGTGGAGGCGGTGGGGGCTGGGCAAGAGGCGGCGAGATTATGCTGATTTGAGGCGCTGGGATTGAAGCGCCGCAACCGCCGCTGGAGGCGCCACAGCCCGGCGATGGCGCGGGCAGAGGGCGGGGATAGCTGGCCTGCGGTGCGGCGTAGGAGCCGCCGGCGTAGGAGGAGGCGTAGCTGAAAGCGTTTGGGTGAATATGGAAATTTTGCAAGGGAAATTTTAATATGCAAATTACGGGAAAGGAAATTTTAATTTTCAAATTTTTTAAAATTAGAATTTTTTTACAGAAATAGTTTCTCTCTTATAGTTTCTATAAGAGATTTTTAGAAATTTCTAGAAATTTGAATATTCAAATTTTAGAAAGGTGAATTTGAATATGTAAATTTTTGAAAATGAATTTTTTTTAGAAAAACTTGTTATTAGCGACTTCGAAAAATTTTTGAAAAATTGAATATGCAAATTTTTTGAAGCATAAATTTGAATAATTTTGAATATTCAAATTTTTCAAGGTAGATTTTTTAGCAAATTTTTTTGAATTTGAAATAACTCCAGAATAACATACAGCAAACTCTCAAAAAAATATTAATATTTAGGCATGCAAATTTTTCTAAACTATGTGCGAAATTTCAAAAAAATCCTTTTTTGTGTTGAAAATTGTCAGTTAGAAGACCCTAAGCATCCATATTTTTCACTCTGTCGGGAAAATAATGAGCACAATATCGTTACGCCGATCGTGTCGCTGAAGTGAAAATCAATTTGATTTTGTCGCAACACAATTCATTTTCTCGGCGGCGATGCGATTTTCGCTGCGACATTGTGCTCATTATTTTCCCAACAAACTGACACATCAAACAAACTGAGTTTTCAATCTCAAACCCTTCCTCACCTCCCACCAGGACAAACGGGGACCGACGGGGCACAGGAGGCAGCGGCCGACGGACAACATGCCGCGCCGCCGCCACCGCCGCCTATGCAGGCCAACGAGCAGCCTATCATCATGTTCAGGAACGCGAGCCGTCTGTAGAAGGCTTTGGGCATGTTGCCGGGGATCTGCAAAAGACGAAATATTGGGTGTTTCGGGAGTGAAATGTTACCGCGAAAAATTTTTTTTATAACTCGAAGTAATAAATTGTAGGAGAAAAAATTGTAAAATTCGAGAAAGTCCGCTCTGTTCGTCGTTGTATAGATGAGGGAAGCTAAAAGAAGGCTTAATTATAATACTATAAATAATAAGATTGATTGGGTCCTAGTATAGCTTTATCACCTATTTTGAGGCGTTTTACATGTACTCACATCAATAATGTCTAGATGAAAGTAACGGATCATCCTTTTTTTCTGAAATTTTGGTTTTTTATATGTTACAATGACTCAGAGTAAAGAAAACTAACGTTAGAAATAGCTAAAATTAGCGAAAGTGGGCATATTGCAAGTCTTCGCCGAGCATTCGCCGAGCCTTCGCCGAGCATCCAACGGCTTTGTGAGGCCTCGTAGACACTTACTATAACCCTTTTTTTGGGGGGTCCACCTGCCCTACGCCCCGTACCGATCGATTTTTTGTTGACCCGAACTGTCGCCGACCCGAAAGAAAAGTCATAAGGCGGGGAAAAAATTGTAAAATACGGTGCTTCTAATTCTAATCCAAAGTTTTTTTTAGACCGATAGAAGTGACAAGTCAAGTCTAAAAATACAATGTAACCTGTGTATAACAAACCCCGTTCATAACAGAAGATTTATGAGATCCCTAGCTTCTTGTCCCCCCTTACCCCAACCCTCCTCAAAATCGACCGCAAAATAAATAATTTATCGTCCAAAACGCTCATCAACACCGCAACCAAAACCAATTCGACTCCGCGACGCCAACTCTCGGCGATGTGACGCCTCTTGAAGCCGGGCGGCGGCTTCAACGACACCCTCCCCTCTTCGGCATTAGCGAACCGCATCAAGCACCTCTTTCGCTGCGTGTTCAACAAGCCGCCTCTGCCGCAGTTTTGTTCTCGACGATTGTTTTTTTTGTTCGGCATGATCCAAGAGCTTCGCAAAAATACGAGAAAAGAAGCGCGAGAAGTGGGGGAGAGTCAAGAGGTTCAATATTTCGTTACGTTCTGGATTTGAATTTATTTTTAATTTAGATTTAAAGTAAATATTACAAAATTGGAATAGATTGGAGATTATGTATTAGTCTGTCGGGAAAATAATGAGCACTCTGTCGCAGCGAAAGTCGCAATGTGCTAGCGAAAAAATCAGCGAAATTTCGCTCATTATTTCTCATTATTTTCCCGACAAATTGATATCAGTCTGTCGGGAAAATAATAAGCACTCTGTCGCTGCGAAAATCGCATGAGAAAATGAATGGCGTCGCGACAAAATCAAATTGCTTTTCACTTCGGTGATGCGATTGGCGATGCGATATTGTGCTCATTATTTTCCCGACAGACTGATACTACGCCGTTTCGCACTTGGGGTATATTGCTTGTAAGGCAATGTTGCTACTTACAAATCCTTGCAGAAAGTCGCTGGAACGATTTCGGCGACGTGCACTGTGCAAAAACAAAAGTTCATTCTGCACTGTGCAATTTGTTGTTTTTGCACCGTGCAGTATTCACATTTTCATAAAACGCCTGGATTTTTCGTCGAGTTCCGCACTGTGCAGGAAGAAAGGTCAACTGCACAGTGCATTTGATTTTTCAAACAAAATCGCTGCAATTGCAAGCTTTTAGCGAATTGCACGGTGCAAATGTCCACGCACTTTATGAAAATGCTAATAGTAAATTCCAGGGTAAATGATGAAAAAACAAAGTCTGTAAAAATCATGCAGCCAACAAAGTTAGCAATGTAAAAATACGTAGCCAAAAATGGAGATTTGACTTGTTCTCGGAGAAAGAAATATTCATAAAAAGGAAGTGCTCGCTCACATGTTCTATTAATCCACGCGCAGCAGCCTTCACCCATTATTTTCCCGACAGCCCTATAAAAAATCAAAAAAAAATAATTCCTTCTTCGCAGACAAACATATTCAAATTTCCCGTCGAAATCCCGCAAAACCGCATCCCTCCGGCTAAAAACACCTCGCCTCTCCAGCGGCGGGAACCCGCTCTCCACCCCAAAAATGACCTATACCAATAAATTTTAATTACAATCGGAACAAAACAATAATTTTCCAGTTTGGTCCACCCCTTCGCTCGGATCTTAATTAGACAGTGCGGACGGCGGAGAAACCAGCTTAAAACACAATATTGGATATTCTAATTGGTGGGCAGTAACGGCGCAGAAAATGGGGATCACAAACGAATGTCATCAAATGATAATATTCCGTCTGGAAGCCGATGAAACATTAAGCGTTTAATTGGTCGTTTAGTGGAGGAGACGAGGGAAAAATGTGTGGAAAAGTTTTGTAGAGCGAGGTTCTATAATTTTTAAGGAAACAGTAAATTAAATTAAAGTTAATATTTGGCGCAAAAAGACCTGAGAATTTGCACAGTGCGAGTTTGTTGGGTTTTGGCATGTCGCGACAGAAAAGTCTGCCGCATTTTTGTTTTTTTTTAGCCTTACGTCGCGCGATTCTCATTTTTCGCAGCGACAAGTCATTACTTTCAGAGTGCGCCGGAATTTGGGCCGCGAAAAATTCTCAGGACTTTTTCCGCCGAGCTCGATTTTTTCAATTGTCATCGGGAAGTTTATACTGCTCCTTACAATAAGTATCTATATTTTCTGAAAGCCAGCTTTTTACTCTACTGCCATGCCAAACTTCAGCCTTCTAGCGCAAACGGCTAGCGAGATATTGAGAGATAAAGCAAGCGCATTCCGAAAAAAATTGAAAAAGTCGCGGAGACCGGTTGTGTCCCAAAAGTACAGAATGCCGTGCCGCGTAGTACTAGTCGCGCCGTAAAGTCAACATGTAGTACTAAATACTCGCGCCATAAAGGCGCTGTGCGCTTTTTTCTTTTTCCGGACCCGTCGCGGCGCGCGGCAACCCAGGGAGTCTCCCGCCTCGTTTAGGCGCGTCGCCCACCTAGTACGGGTTGAAATCAAACAAAATGTCAAAAATGAATTTTTCATGTAGCTTGCCGACCGAAAAATATTTTTCTCGGAATTATTTTATATTTCTTTTCTGAATTTTGACACTTCGTTTGGACGAAATTCAAAAGTGGGCGGGAGACTTTTGTTCTATTATTTTGGGTTGCCGTGCGGTCAGCTGCTTTTTCGCCTGTGCAAAAAAATTTGAAAAGTTGATGTGGCTTAGCCTCGGCATATTGAAAAATTTGACAAAATCCCAAGCCGCGGCGATTCGTGCATGTCATTGCACGACATGCACTTTTGCGCGAGCTGACTCCAATTTTCGTGCGCGACGTCCGCGGTTAAATATGTTGGGAACTTACAGCACGATTAGTATTCGCAGAAGTGCTAAGTGCGACTCTCAGAATTTCACAAACGTTGACACAAATTTAAACCAAACTTTTCTGCAAAATTTGGAGAAAACGTGAGCACCGGCCTAATGAACTTCGAAAAACGCGAGCTAAAGGCTTGAATGCTTTGCTGACCAAAAATGGCGGCGCATGCAATAGGGGAGGTCACCATGTGAAAAATGCTAAGCAAAGCGCCGCTAAAATTACCTTGCTCCCCCTTACCATTAGGTCTCTCCCCCACCCCTTAGCTGCACCCCCAACTGGGCCTATATACGCCCAACGCATGTACAATCTTTTAAAAAAACCTTAAAGTCCAACCTGGCACCCTTGGCACAGTCCAGCTTGCGAAATCAAAGTAAAATATAATAACTAAACTCTAAGCCCAAAGGATTAATAATATCCCCTCATCCCTTCAGCCCCCACAACACCTCAGCTATGACACAACAGCCATCAGAGCCTCGGAATGTCCGAAAACCGGCCCCGGCGGGGCAATAAAAATGTTTTTGGAATTTCCATATTTGGATCCACCCCTTCTCCCGGTGAATAGCCGCCTTTCTTTAGGCGCAGGCTTGCGCCTTCAGGGAGAGAGCGGCGCGCGGTCACGGTCCCACGCACAAAAGCAGCGCGACTTCAACTGGATGAAATGTCAAATGAAGTTGACATTAACAGTCCCCGCTGTGTGCCAATGGGGATTTGAAAGGGAAGGAGGGAGGGGAAAAGAAAGTGCGGAGACCGGTTCTGCGACAAGTTTCAAAATGGATTATGACTAAATTTACGTGACACTACAGTGGATATGTCACGTAGCCGGAGGGAGGATCAAAAATTGTAGATAATATACGACATAGACAGTGATATCAGTCTGTCGGGAAAATAATGTGGATTTGTCGCGCATCATCGTTTTGCGACGGATCGCCGCGACTACCGATATGGAGAGCGGCAGCGAAGAGGCTAGAATTTTTTCCACGACAAATCCACATTATTTTCCCGACAGAGTGATAAAAATTCAAAATTTGGCAAACGGCAATTTCTCGCGGGCCAATTGTCAGTTTCTCTTGAAATTTTGCTTGATCGATCTGTCTAGGCCGCAAAACGATGGCTGAAAATTTCAGCTCATTATATGTAAGGAGAGCCGAGATATTCGCAGATCGTTATAGACGAGAGATTATGGGAAATGATGAGGGTCGGTTAGAGAAGAGCTGATTTTTCGCCTGTCCAAAAAATTTTTAAAGTTGATGTGGCTTAGAGTCGGCATATTGCAAAATTTGACGGAATCCCAAGCCCCACACTTGCAACACTTCCCTTATAAAAAGAATTTGTATAAAAGCCAAAAAAATTTGTCAAATACGCGATGTCTGAAATTAACAGGGAAGTACTCCAAGTGCGATGCTCAGATTTTGATGAAACTTGGCACAAATTTAGAATGATATTTTCTAAGATGTATGCGAGAATCCTAGCTCGCGCTTTGCAGAAACAACCGAGATTTTTGGATCGAAAGTCGGCCAAAATTTAGGACTTTTTGCCGAATTTCGGCACGAAAAGTTTCATGTCTATTTCTACCGTAAAGGATAATGTTTCTACAAAAAATCAAATTTTTCCGCACAAAACTGCCAAAGTTATGGCCAAAAAGCGGTTTTCTCTCTGACCGCTCTCCGCGTTGAGCGTGCTCTCTCGGCGGCATAAACCGTTCGATATCTCGGCGGCGCCTGCAAAGCGCGAGCTAAAACTTTCAGGAATTGATATTTAGTCCATACCCGATGTGTGTGCAAAGTTTAAAGAAAATCCGAGCGTCGCACTTGGGGTACTTCCCCTGTCAGTTAACCTAGTAAAACTCCACACAAAAATTTTTGAAACTTTTGAGATGACATTTCAAAAGTAGTGCAAGTGGCATTTTCAAACATTGCATTGTTCAAAAAGCGAGAAATGCACAGTGCGTTGACGACAACAGGGCGGAATAAAGTCAACGCACTTTATGAAATATATGAGTCTGTCGGGAAAATAATGAGCACGCTATCGTATCGAAAATGGTGATCGCCGCCGAGAAAATGAATCGTGTCGCGGAAAAAATCAAAATTTTTTTCAGTACAGCGACGCGATTGGCGCAGCGACATTGTCCTCACAATTTTCCCGACGGACTGATAGTATAACATAATGCCAATTTTCCAAACTACCGCTCCAAAAAAATCACTTGCTTTTTCGTTATTCCGCAGTAAAAATTACACAATTAAGAAATTTCTGATTTTTTCCCCAATTTTTCCAACTAAAAATCCCCCCTAAAATGGTGACAATGACTCTACCCTCCAATTCACGGTGCAATCTAAACTCCAAATAGTCTCCGACGAGCCTCATAAAAGACGTTTAAAACTCTCCCTTGAAGAGTACCCGGTGCGCGAGATCAGCTGGATACCCTGCGGATCCGGAAATTCCCAAAAAAAATTTGCAAAAATTTTTATTCTCTCCCACCAACCGCGCGAGTCTTCCACAAAACTTTCATCGGTGGATTAAGCGGATAAAGAAATCGAAAATTTAACGGGATTTTT